TTAGACACTGGATATCGTAGGGCAAAGGACTGATTTTCTGCAGAGTGCCATGCCACCTACAGAAAAATACTGCCTGAATAAACGTAGGCATTGTATATTATACTTCCATTAGAGTGACCAGATTATGAAGTCCTAAAAAATGCAAATAGTTTTCTTTGATAACAGAAAGTGACCCAGAGTTTCAATTTCAGCAAAGGAAATAATGAATAATGACACTAGCACATAATGGACAGAGGCAAGAGGAACAAACCCCCAACTAAACAACTAAGTAAGAGAATAATCTTTTTTGTTAAATGGATACTTCAGTCTCTACCTGAGTAGATTCAAACTTTTAGAATGGGTGCCAGGGGCTCCTTTTTATTATCTTTGGAGCACCTCACATAATACAACAAACTCATCCCATCTCATACTGAATTGTCACGCAGCATGCCAAGCATGGCAGAACTGGTAGTCTAGATTTTCTTACATCTACAAACAACTAACCTAAATGAAAGCCACAAAGGTGGCAGAACCAAAAAACCCCAAACTCAACTGCACCCACCAAAAGGTGAAGCACTTACAAGCTAGGGAAATGCTGCATTTCAGATTTGCTGTAGTCCCCCAAATCTCAGTTTCCACAGTTAAAGCACTGAGTAACGCAGGACTCTAATGGAAAAAGAAAAAGATTAAGCAATTGCGTAAGAGGATCTGTATCCTGAAGCACACATAACAGGAGAGCTGAATTAAAATTGCATGGAAAGATACAAACTTCTTTTTCTAGGCTATACTCCACTTGTAGCAGACAAATCACTACCAATAGCTAATTAATGTAACTGACAGTCAGCTCTGTCAGTAGAATACATTATGGCAGAACGGCAGCCTGACGGGGTTCAGCAAGTGTAGGAGAAATATGAATTGTGAAACCACCACCACAAAGCAGCACAGTGAAAGCTGGGATGAATCTTTGTGTTGGTGTAAGAACAGCATGTCAAAATCTTCCCAAACTTCAGCATTTGTCCTAAATTCATCAGAATTAGTGAAATCGTGAGACATTAGGAAACTCAGTACTTGATGTAAAACGGTTCCTTGCCAGCTTAGGGAATCCAACCAGAGAAAAATGTACCTATCCAAATGATTCTCAGAGAGGTGAGTCAGATGCAGTAAGGCATTTCTAAAGACATCTTTAATACTAACTATAGTTTACACCAGTTAGTCCTCATCACCTGTTTTCTTCTCTCATGGGTCTCAACATTGCTTTTCAGACTGCCTCCTTTCCAAGTAGCTGCTCACACAACCTGTGGGATCAAACTGAGAGACCGCTCCCTTTTAGAGGCCACCTCACTCTGCCCTTTGCAGGGGCCTCCTAAGGATGACCATGTTCCCCAAGGAGGGTGGACTGCAGCTCCCCACAGCACAACCCTAAGCAGCCAGTCTCCTGGCCAAAGGAAACTTTCACTTTCCAACCACTGAGGACAATGGGGAAACCCTCAAGCATTATTTTGCATGCAGTTTGCATACCTGGAGCTGCTTATCACACAGGCTTTTTGGTTCTGAATGATGAAACAGTAAGCCTGCAGGGAAGAACTTCTACAGGCTTCAGCTTTTTGGCTTCCTGTGTAAATTCAACAGCTTTTTGCTTCCTGATTTTTGATTAATAAATACTGAAGAAATAACCTAAATGAAGAATCCAGGGAAGCTGAGGTGTTGAAAAAGATACCTGTAATAAGACAATGCCTCACGTGTGTTGGGGGCTGCAGCTGAACACAACAGGCAGTCCCAAACAGCAGAGCATGAATCTGTTTTAACTAGCACAGACATACAAGCAGAGGCTCAAGATGCTTACTACAGCTGCCACAGAGTGATTCACACAAGTCACGTCCTTCGATAAGAATATTCCAATTTTCATCAGATTATTTGTGAAGTCATATATAACCTGAAAAATAACCTGAGATGCGTGCAAACCATGGCGGAGAGCTTACATGCTCGTAGACGTGGTAGCTCTCATGAGTTAAGAGTTCAACATGAGACCATGGCTGGTCATCTTCAAACCAGAGTTTTCAAAGGCAGCAGACAGGCAGCACGAGCTGCTGGAGCTCGCAGCTCCTCTCCTCTCTCAGGACCCTTGGCCGCTGCAATACTTGGGTGTGCCCCAAATTGCAGGGTATGGGCTGTTCCAAGAAGCAGTTTTAAGATTCTTCGTGTATTGTCTCAGGCCCATAAAGCTGTCCCTCCCATCAGGCTGACAGAGCACACTCCCCTAGGATATTATCTGGAAAAGAATTTCAGCTTATAAAACAGGTTTACCAGCTGAATAAAACATCTAGAAGAACTGTATACTTTAGGATCTGTTTTCAGATCTGTTCTAAGGTACATTTTTTCCTTCTTATTATTTTAAAATCAATCTTCAGTAGGAAAGATTATTATTCCACTCACGGCACTGCCACAACATCTCTATTTGTTGAGATAAAATCAAAAAACCCGAGAGATGCCTTTAGTTAGACTGGTAGTTCACTACCATCATCTTAAGCCATTTTACTCAATCTCTGGATTCCAAAACAGCTGTTCAGTGGTCTTGTGTGCTATCAAATCTCATTCCGGACTTTAAATTTCATTTTCCTTCCCTTACAAAACAAATATTTAAGATTTGTTGTTGCAGTTAATCACAGAGAAAGTAAAACATGGGTGAAAAGCTCAGCGATGCTTATTTTATAATCTTTGTCCTCACGAGAGTGGAAACTAAGAGCTGCCTGGCAGAGTTCAATGTGGGTCACTCTTCAAGAAAAACAGCTACACATAGACATAGGGGACGTCTCTAAAGAGAGCAGTCAAATCATGGAATGTTTACAAAATAAACCATGATGCCACCAACCTATGTGCATCTGCAAGTCCAGCAGGAAAGTAACTGCTGATCCTGGCAACAAAATTTCAGGAGGATTCATTTTGGAAATCTTCCGGTAGATTTGGATCCTGTTCTTCAGAAGTAATTGGAGCTCTGCTAGGCCCATCCTGACCGAACAGAAAAGCTAGGAAGTCGTGACTCTGCAGAACCATGTGCTCGCTGGGTTCTGTCCCCATCCAGGTCTGCCCTGTCTCCTTTCTGCCTCTGACCATTAAGCTGTTCAACAGATGGCATTAGGAAAATGAAGGGTTTGCTGGGTATTTTGAGTATCAATTTGAGTAGACTGTATCAAGCTGCTTCTCTTGCCTCTCTACATGAAACTGCACTATTAGCAGTCATGTCGTACACAGGTTGCCTTGTCAGTGATCAATACTGTCCAAAGCACTAAGAACAAGCATCAGTGCTGTACTCCATGCTGGCGGTACCACACCCTTACTCAGACACCAGTTTACATGTTTCAGGCTTCATTTTCTTACAAATGCTACACTGGCTTCATTTGAACAGGAATGGTAGAAACAGCTGTATTTGTGCAAGATACTGTAACCCATTTAAAGAAGCAGTTAAATTACAAGCACAGTAAAAGGAACTACTAGAGAAGCCAAAAACCAAAACCAAATAGACAGAAGACCTCAGACACTGACTACATCCCAAGAAATAAGTAAGTTAAATTCACTGATTTCTTAATCGATCACGCATCTTGGCCAGCATTTGCTATTCTATGCTTTTAAGCCTCTAACTGATTTCTGCAAGTTTGAAAATGTACAACTAGTTATTCACGTGCTTTATCAGTCAAGGCCAAGTGACCAAGGCAAGTTGTGTGTTAAAAACAAAACAGTCTCCTCTCTCACCAGCCACTACAGCAAAATTTGCAAGAGACACATGCAGAAATATACCTTGACCTCTAGACATCATACAGCAAATAAGGTGTCTTCTACATAAAACACAGAGACCTGTATTTGTTTGGTAACAGAGTAAGTTGTTACTGACATAATGACATCCAGGAATTAGGATTTGGGGGGAGGGGGGGGAAGTCAACACAAAATCATGGTAGTGTAAGATTAACCTCATTTATTTTAAAAAAATGGGAAAAAAACAAAGAAAAAAGAAAACCAACAACATTACAATACACCTATTTTTTCTAACTCCACATTGCCTTACGCATTAGCAATGTCAACTACAGTAATCAAAACTGGAACTGCTTGAAGGCGGAAGGGGAGGAAAAATCACTAAGGGAACAATTCCAGATCTGTTTCAAAGGACTGGAAGGGAAGACTCACAGAAACACAATATATGAGAGAAAGAAATGCTTACAGAGAAAAAAAGGGGAGAAAGGGAGAGACATAACACATGGTGGGAACGGCAGTATCTATCTGTCACAAAAAAAAAGTGATAAAACTTAGTATTTTGTTGTGTTGGTATCTCAATCCTAGCATTTGGATGACACAGAAAATATTTCCAAACAAGAATGGAACTATCCAGTTTCCCAGAAAAACATTAGGACATATTTACAGGTAATTCTTCCACCATGGATGGTTTTCAGCGTTCAGGAGAATGAAGCAGATGCACCGAATCTCCAGCACAAAAAGGAGTATTTTTCTACTTGTGTATTTCTCTGTACATATTAGATAACCACACATATTTATATTGAAACGCATTTGCATTTATTTATGTATACACAGCTGATTAGGAGGTCTGGCCTTAGCTATTTTATTTTTTCATCTCCAGGAGAAATAACTTACTGTTCTTGTTTCTCAGTAGAAACACCTTACTTACTATATTAGTATCAGAAAGAGAGTGCTGAAGCTCAACATGTGGTTCACAAAGCAGCATATCCTGTTTTATTACAAGGAAAAACAACATACGTATTCACAGAAAATAGATTATGTTTAAAAGCTGCAAAGCAAGGATGTAGTGTAGAAATACAAAAATGAAAGACAGGCAGGAAGTGTCCTTGGCATCTTCATTCAAACTGTGCATATATACAAAAATCAGGACTGCAGTTTCCCACCACTGTATGAATAATTTTAATTTCAATTTCACCTTATCCTCCTCGTGCACTAGAGAACAGTAATCACAGGCTAGACACAGATATAAATAGTCAGAGAAAAAGAGAATTTATTACCTTTACTGTATGCAATTGCAAGCACTGTGAGACTTTGACCTATAAAGAGAAAGGAAACTAAGAGAAATAACATGTAAGATGAAGCCACAGATCCTATAATGGTATTTCCAAATTGACAGAGGTTGCCTTAAAGTAAGTTAAAAAGAAGCCACATACTTTTTTTATACTTACATGTGGTCGGTATAAAATTCATTAAAGAGAGGAAAAATTCTTTTACCAGCCTAAGTCTTACAGACTTTCCCCAACAATTTCCCTTGTAAGAGTTTTATCCCACTCTGATGATTAGAGAGGACTGTTTTGTAAAGGTTCATCATTCAGGATCTGGATGGAACTTATCTTTCCTTTGTAAAAGGGGACAGATGTGAGGAAGAAGTGCTGTATGCAGTAAGTTCATGTTCACAATCTACTGCCTTGGCAGGTGTATGTCAGGTAGCTTGAAACTAGTAGTGTAAAGCACTACTGACTCAAAAGGAGCCCTAGCTTTGGTTTTGGGGTTTCTGAACACACTGTACTTCTGCTGATAAAATAAAAATCCTGGCTCCTTCCCTCTTGAAGTCCCAATTCAGTTTCGAGTTTCTTATAAATTGCAGGAAAATCAAGTGACGCATTCATAGCTGTAAGGAAGAACTTGGCCACCCTAGAACTCTGCATACTCTCAAGTGTACAACTGAAGAATGTCTAGTGGTAAGATTTATTCCAGTATGTGAAACCAATAGATTTGTTTTTGCATTTAGCTTAAAGAACACACAGCAGTGAAATGCGCGTTGTGGTCCAATGACTACCCTTCTCATTTAAGACAGCCTCTACTTTTCTCACTTGTTCAAACAAGATTAAGCTCTCTTCAATACGCTATTTCCATTAATTTACCGTTGCTTCTGTATGTTTAAGAAATACCTTTTATACAACTAAGAACTTACCAATCTTTAACCAGCAGTGGGAAGAAATTCTTAGTATGTTAGATAAGAAAAATTATTGCCAATGTTAACCATGAAGAGTATCAACACAGACAGCATACAAAAAAAATGCAAGAAATGAACATCACTTGGACTTGATCAGCATCACTGTTTTTCCCATAATTTTCTTCTGTTTACTAGTTATAAAGATTTGGCTTCCCCAGGGCTTCAAAACCATGTAACTGCCCATCGCACAAGCAGGTCATAGCAAGAGAGCATCTTAAAAATTCCCAGAGCTTCTATTTTAATTCTCTCAATATGGGTCTGTCTCAAGAAACCTGACATGTAGTCAAGGAACAGCCCGACTTGACAACAGCTTTCTCTTGCTCACAGCAATCTGCACATCACCAGAACTGCTCATAGCAACACCACTGCAATATTATCCTTATTTTAGTAATCTCCATGTAAAGCACAGGCTTACGCCTCTCTCCTAGCTGTTCCTTCAAATTGACTCTAGAATTATGAAAGCCAAGATTACTTCTAATATCAGCCACCTTCACATTTTAGGAATGTCAAACATTCACAGGCTCACAGCACAGAACATATGCTCCAGCTCATCAGCCCAGAGATTTTGATGGCAATAATCACAATAATTTCACAGTTACAGAAAATAAATCTTTACATACTCTACCATTTTCCAAGTTACCATACAAATCGCACTGCTAATTTCTAACCACAACTTGTTCAGAGAACTGCTGTGGTACAATGTGATCTAACTGGTGGTATGCTTCATCTCTGTCACAGGGCACTGAAATTTCCTACTTTAAGCTCCAGCCTAACCAGAGGTGGCCTGGCCCCAAATTCCACCTACAGAAAAGGTTTGACTGTGACTGCTGCCAGGCTTGTCTCAGTATTTACAGTGATCACATCCAGGACTTCCCAGCTACACAACAGCCCATTAGGAGATGCTCTCACCGTGCCACCAGGCGTGCAGAAACCCTGGGCACAGGCAAACAACCCCCATGCTCTGAGCAGACTATTGCTCCTGGTCGGGAAAGGAAAGCATTGGAGGAATCCTGGATGCCTAGCAGTCCTGGAAAACGAGAAAGCCACTGAAGAGAAACTTCTATTTCTCTTGCTGTATCTGGTCTTCACTCAACTGAAACCCAAGGGTGGCAGTGAGTTTTCCAATTTTAAGTCCCCTATGTGTGTTGTGGAGGGAAGGGACATCTTTACAGTGAGGGTGGTGAGGCACTGGAATGGGTTGCCCAAGGAAGTTGTGAATGCTCCAACCCTGGAGGTGTTCAAGGCCAGGTTGGACAGACGCTTGGGAGATGTAGTTTAGTGTGGGGTGTCCCTGCTCATGGCAGGGGGGTTGGAACTAGATGATCTTAAGGTCCTTTCCAACCCTAACTATTCTATGATTCTGTGATTCTATGTCTCTAGACAAAAGCACTTGTGCTGATGGCTACAGAAGGGCCAGTCACAGAAAATACTTCTCCTAAAAAAGCTGAGATCTGCTACTGACAATTTAAAGGAAGAAGATTCCAGTGTTCAAACTACAAAGTTACAACCACATTACCTGCAGGACCAACCTGGAAAGAAGGTAAGAACATTACCCAAAGCCATTTAGCAGCATCTCTGGAGCAACACTACCTGTAGGTTACCTGCTGAAACATGGGTTACCTGCTTAACCCTGGGCAAGGACCACCCAACTCCTCAGCTCCTCCATGCTTTGGTTAGCCTCCCTCTTCTCTCCTACACTACACTACTAAGAGGGAGCCAGGCCAGCACTGCGGGGAGTTGCAGCAGTAGCAGTTATTGCAATACACACCAAAGAAAGAGGAAAGTTGTCACCACTGTCACCACTCACACAGCAGTTGACACTGAAGGTAAAACAGGCGGGTACACACAGATCTGTCCTCTCCTCTGCCCAAGGTTAGTGCTGTGGTAGGACTTGCCTTGCAGCCCTCACCCACACTCTCCAGTTGTCAAGGAAAATAAACAAAGCTGGTAAACTTCATCTTGAGTCACTCAGAAGTAATAATTTCAAAAGTCAGGACTGTTAGAAAACAAGCAAAGTTATCTGTAAAGTTAGCAAAGACACTTACGCAGATCTAAAACACAAGTTACTGAGTTTAAACACGGCAGGAATTTAACTTATCTTTGTGTACTCTGCAACATGATCTACCATTAGCGAGACCTGTCTGCTGCAGTTCAGTTTTATTCCTTCTCAACTTTAGAGGCCAAAGGTAGCTCAGATGTTTTGGTCACGGGGAACATAAGCAGCTGGCAGTCACATTTCCTTACTAATGGCTCTAGTATCAGTGTTAATAGGACCATACTTCAGACACTTAATTAGCTACAGCTTTTGTCATTGTCATACACACTCAACTAGAAAAGCAGGAGTAAAAAGACTATATACATGCTGCACAGCTAATCCTTAGCACCCTATATACAAATGTCCTACACAGAACACAGAGCTAAAAATGTCACACCAAAAGTGACCATTTCTATATGAATCACTGCAAAATGCTGTCTCTCACTGGGATTTTTTATTGAATGCATGGTGTTAAGGCCATTTAAAAATCCTCTCACAAACATGAGCCCTCACCAGCACTCTCAGGACCCCAGCAGCCCCACTAGGCTTTTACTCATTTTCCCATACAAAGGAGAGCTCTGCTGTTCAAATTACTCCCTTAGGGACACACTGCATAACCCCTCTGACTTAATTTTGCTTTCTCAATAATACCACTGCAAACACACTGAATGCTAATAGTAAATAAACTATTCAAATATTCGGTTTCTACAGAAGCACCATGTGAATCATCCTCCTGAAAAGAAACTTCTGAAGAGATTGTCAGGTACCCTCCATGTGGGAGAAACAAGAGAAAAAAAAAAGAAGGAAAAAAAAGCTGATTTAAATAATAATGCCTTTTGAATGAAAAGTGATTTATTGTAATACGGAGAGACAGTAGCTTTACTGTTAATTTAATAGATTGACCTAAACCAGCAAACAGAGCATGACTGTAACTACAGTTTCAAAGATGGTTGAACAGCAACTCGAAGAAGCAAAACCTGAAGAGAAACAGTGAGGTCAAAAGGTTTGGTGCTCTCCTGATAAAAGTAACTAAACTGGAACTAAACTGGACACTCAAAACCCAGATCTCCACACAAAACAGTCATCTGTGGAGTTATACAGTCAATTTCCAAGTGTATCTCTCAGAGTAAGGAGCGTAACTGAAACTTCGATGGGGAAAGAACCTCCAAAACCCAAAACCACACTTCCCTGCAAAAACTAACAGCACTGTGGCTTTTTACAGTTAGGTTCCCACTGTTCAAGGCTCTCCCTTTGGTGGAGCATCAGAATATGATACAGAGCCAGTATTTCATAGACTGACAGCTCTGTGCAGTGAGAATCACTATTATTATCCTCATTTCATAGAGCACAAAACCAATGAACTATAACCTCAAAGCAAAAGAAGCATTGAGATTCCTGGGGAATGAGAGATGCCCAAATACATATTAGGAAACAAGTGTTTAGTTGGATTTGGGCATAAGAGTCTTGCCCAAGGCTGTGTTACAGATCATAGCACCTAAGTCTACCAATCCTAAGGCTGGACTGTCTTACATTCCTTTTTGGTCTTTCTTCATTACATTTAAGTATTATGTATTACTAAATTATCTGTAATACATGTTTTGCCTTGCCATGTTGGTTTTTGTTTGCATCTCCAGGTAGCAGAAGTACATAGCATTTCTCTCTGAGTTTGATTTGCTTTTGAAGTGTATGACATGCAATTCTGAAAGTTAAATGCAAGTGAGACTTACTGAATCCTCTCGTCTTCCAGCACTCCCCTGCTCCTCCTCTCCTCACCCCTGTTAGGACTAGCAGGTACGGATACCTGTGTTCCAGGATGGGTACCACCTCTTGCCACATGCCCAGGACTTGCATGTATCCTGCTCATTCAGTGGAAAAAGCAGATGAACTGAATTTCCACCAGAAGAAAGAAGCCCATTGTGCCTTTAGGGGCCCTTGGGGATTTGTGGATGGGTGCTGATGAACATCCCAGTCTTCTCTTTGTGAATTTACTGTCAACTTCCATCTTGAAGGTAACAAGAATAACTCCTCCCAAACCTCTCCAGAGA